ACAAAGCCATCCCTACCCTTTCCCTTGACTCTGCTGCTGAAGTCCCCAAATCCTGTGGTTTAGAGACTTCAATTAGCAGAGAATCCTCCAGCTAGCGATCCCTGCCCCATGCTGCGGAGGAAGGCGAAAAACCTCCAGGGCCTCTGCCAATCTACCCTGGAGGAAAATTCCTTCCCGACCCCAAATATGGCGATCAGTATGTCCAATTTTTTAACCTTTCCTCACAGATCAGGTTTTCTAACTCTTTGATCATTTTTGTTACTCTTCTCTGGACTCTCTCCAATTTGTCCACATCTTTCCTAAAGTGTGGTGCCAAGAACCAGACACTGTACCCCAGCTGAGGCCTCATCAGGGCCGAGTAGAGCAGGACAGTTACCTCCCGTGTCTTACATACAAAACTCCTGTTAATACACCCCAGAATGAGATTAGTACTAGGGCCAGTGTTATACATGAGGGAAGATGAGATGGTCACAAAGTTTCCAAGGCCAGAAAAGATCAATGAGTCATCCCCTCCCATCCAATTATAGAATAGAATCATAGAATATCAGGATTGGAAGGAACCTCAGGAGGTCATCTAGTCCAACCCCCTGCTCAAAGCAGGACCAATCCCCAACTAAGCATCCCAGTCAGGGCTTTGTCAAGCCTGACCTTAAAAATCTCTAAGGAAGGAGATTCCACCACCTCCCTAGGTAACCCATTCCAGTGCTTCACCACCCTCCTAGTGAAAAAGTTTTTCCTAATATCCAACCTAAACCTCCCCCACTGCAACTTGAGACCATTACTCCTTGTTCTGTCATCTGGTACCACTGAGAACAGTCTAAATCCATCCTCTTTGGAACCCCCTTTCAGGTAGTTGAAAGCAGCTATCAAATCCCCCCTCATTCTTCTCTTCTGCAGATTAAATAATCCCAGTTCCCTCAGCCTCTTCTCATAAGTAATGTGTTCCAGTCCCCTAATCATTTTTGTTGCTCTCAGCTGGACGCTTTCCAATTTTTCCACATTCTTCTTGTAGTGTGGGGCCCAGAACTGGACACAGTACTCCAGATGAGGCCTCACCAATGTTGAATAGAGGGGAACGATCACGTCACTCGATCTGCTGGCAGTGCCTCTACTTATACAGCCCAAAATGCCGTTAGCCTTCTTGGCAACAAGGGCACACTGTTGACTCATATCCAGCTTCTCGTCCACTGTGACCCCTAGGTCCTTTTCTGCAGAACTGCTTCCTAGCCACTCGGTCCCTAGTCTGTAGCAATGCATGGGATTCTTCCGTCGTAAGTGCAGGACTCTGCACTTGTCTTTGTTGAACCTCATCAGATTTATTTTGGCCCAATTCTCTAATTTGTCTAGATCCCTCTGTATCCTATCCCTACCCTCCAGCGTATCTACCACTCCTCTCAGTTTAGTGTCATCTGCAAACTTGCTGAGGGTGCAGTCCATGCCATCCTCCAGATCATTAACGCTGCTATAATGGTGCTTCCTTCTCATTCCTTATCCTTTGCTGCTTTCTGGTGACTGCATGAAGCAACCAGAATTTCATTGACATCTGCCGTATTCGCCATCTTTTCTCTTTACTGCTTCGCTTCCAAGGGTAAGCACCAAGGGCTGGTTGGGGCACTTGGACTGTGGATAGGATCGCAGAGCCCCAGGCACCTGTTAGGATATAGATATTCAGGCCTGTCTGCAAAGGCCTATACTTTAAGAATTTATGTGTATTCTTATCACTTAGCTAGTTATAGAGTATAAAAGAGAGAATCAAAATCACTGTTTGTGAAAGGGCCTTCTCGTCCTGTGACAGACTGAGGCTCTGTTCTTAGGCTAAGGCCTTTGGCTAAGCAGCAGAGGCAGCCATAAGCTGAGAAGTGAACGGTCACATCCTCACATTCCAAACTAGTCACATGGAAATAAGGTGCTATTGGGCTGTTAGGAATCCAATCCTGTCCTGATATTCCTATCACCTCCAGAGAAAGGGAAGAGCCTAGAACATGTAAAAGGAAATTTAGTTTGATAGTTTTCTGACTGGTAAGAACTCACTTATCAATAGACACAGCTGGGAAACCCTTATGTCTGTATAGATGTAGTTGTGAAATCCTCACTTCTGTATTGTTTTGTATGTTTATTTGCATGGTCTCTGTCTGGTTCTATAATTGTTTCTGTCTGCTGTATAATTAATTTTGCTGGATGTAAACTAATTAAGGTGGTGGAATATAATTGGTTAAATAACCATGTTACAGTATGTTAGGATTGGTTAGTTAAATTTCAATAAAATGATTGGTTAAGGTATAGCTACACAGAACTCAAGTTTTACTATATAGTCTGCAGTCAATCAGGAAGTAAGGGGGGAATGGGAACAGGGAATGGGGGTGGGGAAATTGGAATCATGTTTTACTAAGGGGGGAATGGGAACAGGGA